TTTTTCAAGTTAAAATTAATCTTTTCAACTTAATTTTGCACATTGTTAAAATCACACGCTTTCATATTATGCTCTACTTTTATACTGTACTACATACAGTTTAAAGGCATCTCCAAAGCATATGATTTAAAGGATTGGTGTTTTTACTATGTTACTCCTGGGGTCTCATTAAAAGGACTCTCTCTATGTTGTATTTTTTTCCTTTGTTTTGCTTAATCACTTGCCGACCGCAGATAGCCGGCTTCACTGCGGCTGGCCAGTTCTGGGAGGGCGTCATATGACGTCCTCCCAGAATGTGCTCTCCTGCACGCCCCTGGCGATCTTCCTGATCACTGTGTCCTATGGACACAGCTGATCATGTGATATGGTAAAAGGCCAATCACAGCGGCCTTTTACCACGTGATCAGGCGTGTCCAATGATACACTGATCACCGGGAAATGCAATTGCCGGTTATCAGCTGCACTTTACTCATGCTGTTACAGCATGAGGAAAGTACTGCCGAGAGCTGGCAGTTGTCAGAGGAGGGACCGGCACTGGTGCCCAGCAGTGCCACCCATCAGTGCCCATCTTCAGTGCCAGCTCATTAGTGCAGCCTCATCAATGCACATCAGTGAAGTAGAAAAATTACCTGTTTGCAAAATTTTTTTTATAATAGAAACAAAGAAAAACTTTTTTTTAAAATGTTTTGGTCTTTTTTTGTTTATAGCGCAAAAAAAAAACACCCAGCAGCGAGTAAATACCACCAAAAGAAAGTTCTATTTGTGTGAAAATAAAAACTATAAAAATTTCATATGTTGCATGACCACGCAATTCTCATTCAAAGTGCGACAGCGCTGAAAGCTGAAAATTGGCCTGGTAAGGAAGGGGGTATACGTGCCCGGCAGGCAAGTGGTTAAAGTTCCCCATGGTAGTGCGCAGCTCCCCAAGCAATTTTTTGACAATGGCTTGTCCATTTATCATTGAAAATAGCCAAAATGTATTATCAAGAATCATCCCCCATAGACTTCAATGGGATTCTCTGCTAAATTATGGTTTCACAGATTTCAAGATGAATTTAAAGCTCCCTCATGACTTGGACTCAGACAGATTTGCCTATTCCTATTTGCAGCAAAATGTGTAGCTCACATACATGTATAAGGTATAGAATATAATTTAGTGACTTTGAAAAAACTTCACTAAAGTGCTCTGAGCATTAGTATTTTTTTTTTATCATCTAATATTTTAATAATTTTAACTTTATTTTTCTGAATTACAAAAATTACAGCTAGCACTTGATTGATTGTGTCCGCTTCCCACTTAATCACATTTACATTTTTAAGACATCAAAGTAAACCTTTTCTTACATGTATTTTTCAACATAGTTACTCTTCTACTACTGGGATCTGCTTTGGGGATTATTTTGGGACAACATTGTAATTTTTTGAGCATATTGCAATAGTATAGCCAAAAGAGCTAATCTATGTTGAAATAAAGGCGTCTATATCTCAAAAATAAATTGCTTTGCGAATGTCTCATCATTCTCATAAACAAAAAGAATAATACCCATAATGTTTGTATTACAGTGTATATATATATATATACAATAGTTTCTTTGTTGCCTTTTGCTAGGCAGATAGCATTCCGCAATATTCAATCCTAAAACAAAAATAGCTATTAGAACATTTGACCGTATAGGTTGAATTAAAAGCTCTTGTATGGAAATTGAGAACCCCACACATTTTTTTTTTTATGACATCCGTACTAGGACCTTTAGGTTTTTAGGATTTTTTTGGGGGGGATTTTGGAGAGGGACCTTGCACCATTTTTTTTTTTTTTTTTACCAAGGCTATTCCCACTTTTTTTTTTTTTTTTTTCCTCATTTCACCTATCAGTTGGGAATCCCCAACTTACAGTTCAATGTGCCAGGTGGGGATGAGTTACTGGTTGTTAGGACGCTGGTGATAGCGCTCCCTAACAACCAGGAGAAATCTGTTATATTTAGTAGTGGTAACAATACTACTGCAAATCATTTCACTTGTCACTGCAGCATGAGGTTCTCTTGTCCATTCTAATATTTCCCCTGCTGGCCGATTTCGTTCTTAGCCTATAGTGTTAGGCTGTTTTCTCTGTTGATGAATGTTAACCCTCATGGTTCTTATTGCTATTTTTCTTTTGAGATTGAATGTTGGGGAATGGCAACAAAAAAAAAACCTATTGCACACATAATACACACACACATTTACAGGCATTATTAAACGTAGAAACATTTGTAGCGCTAATTTTTTTAATATAAATTATAGCTGTGTGTGTTCCCACTAGCAAAATTCTCTCCTCCAAAATTTTAGAGTTGTCACTAGAGCAAGAGTTGATGAAAAATCCTCAAGCAGGGATATCTGTTCCTATGAAAACACACTAAGATAGAAACTATGTTTACTTTGAACAGATTCCATTTCTTTTGCTGTTGCACCTCAGTACAGTAAGTATAGGGGAATCTCCCCAGAAAAAACAGTCAACAAAAAATTTCATGATAGTGGTTTTAACCTTTCCCTACTCTGTCTAATCAAAAGGATAAAGGTTTGGCTTTGCATACACTTTATGGTATAACAGGTAATAACATGGTTCATATGACTAGGAGAGGGTTGTAGCATACAGAAATGCTGCTATATACAGTTGTGTCCAATAATTATATCAACCCCCATAAATTGGCCATTTGACATTGCTATTATCATTATCATCTTGCTTATATTTACATTACAGACACGTGTGTGTGACAAAAGGAATAGGACTATGAAAAAGCTGTAATGTCTTTTTCTAATGCAAAGTTTTAGAAAAACCCCCAAGTGAAATAATTTGTACAGGTTGCGATGTGTAATAAAGAATTTAAAAAGCTTTTTTTTGACACAATCAGCGATTTCGGGTATTTTATTACTTCTTGGCAAACTATATAAATCATTATAACAACTGCTTTCTTTAATACAAGTTCATCAAAAAAAGTCTATTAACTAAGATAACACTACCACAACAGCCTTTTTACCATTATCTGGGGTACTATTACCTTTTGAAGCCACTGTGTATTGTTCTCCATGATAGGTTTCCAGCTCACTGTATCTTCTCCTGTTGGGAATTCATGGAGGTGCAGGAAGTGTACCTGCAGGCGCATCCCTCTGTAATGAATTGGATACCCACCAGTCAGCTGGAGGGGATGACTTGTTTCCTCTATAGCGTTGATCATGGGCAAAAGTTCTAAAGGTGTAGCTGCACAGAACACTATACTGGACTTTTGTGGTGACGCTTTTTTGCAGGACTTTCTTATCCCTTTCAGCAAGGGGGTACGCCTGGGAGTTCTGGCACGGAGCCTTCATTACGCATTGGGTTTATTGTCCAAAGTCTGTACAAAATCTGCAAATTTTCTCAGTTCCTCAGCAGTCACACGGGGACTTCAGCACTCACGCTTCATTGCCACCTCGAAGTCAGATCTTCTTTCTGCCTTGTAGCGTTTCAACAGTGCCCTTTGCCTTGAATTTGGGATGCTTCCTAAAGCTAAGTATGTTTAACATCTTTGCAATCTTCTTAAGCCATTGAGCCTTGCGTGAAGAGAAATCACCTCTTCTCTTGTCTTCCACCATTCTCTTGCCTTCGCATGTTAGTAACAACTCCAGTTTGTCTAGAATCACTAGTATCCCACGTTTTTTGAAAGCTCCCTAAGTTTTCTTATTAAGCAATTCCTGCTCTGGTGACTGCAAGGTGTTTTTACCTGATGGAAAGCACCTGTATGAACCCCTCCCAGAGTGGTGCTTTAAGGGGTTCCACAAGTGGCAAGTGAAACCCATAAGAACCATTTACTACATTACATAAACAATTATGTCTTTATCATTAACAACTCCTCACTGCAAGTCTACTGTGACTCATTGCTAAACTGACAGTTTCCATAAAGAATTTTAAATTTATTTTTAATCAGATTTCCTTATTACTTTCTTGAAAAAGCGATAATGTAAATTCAGAATATTATATATATATATATATATATATATATATATATATACATACACACACATGTGTTTTATTACAATACTGTTACAGTTAATCACACGTTAAAGAAATAATTTCAGATGGATTACATTTTAAATTTTTTTTAAATATATATATTACTTCTTATATATATATACATAGGTATAACAATAATACGCATTACAACAGGACCATTATTGGGAAATTACCTTTTTGTAAATTGTTCTCATGATATTTGCTTTATCTTTTTTGGGCCAGTGGAGGTCAGGGTGTGCAATTACTGTAATGACTTGGAACCTGGTAGTCAGCTGGAATGACAGTTTTCTATCTCATGCAAAAGAAATATGTAGCTGCAGTTCCATAACTTTCTGTTGATTTTTTCAGGGATTTCAATTTTCAGGTGAGAGATTGGGTTTATGTGTAATCAGCACCATGTTCATTATCCGAATAGATTCTTGTGCAGTGATGGAATGGGATCCTCCTCAAAGCTAAGATATACACTGCTAAAGAAGAGCCTTGCGTAGTCTTTCCCAGAGTGTGCGCTTAGACAAACTAACCCACGTTTTTCTGACAGCTCCAGGAAGTTTTCTTAGTAAGCAATCCTCTCTGGCTGCAAATTTTGTCTGTCCCCTCCCAGTGTTTGCAGTCCACAAGCTGGAAGTGCTCCCATACCACACATAAGTATGACTGCAAGTCTACTGTGACTCATTGCACTGACAGTTTCCAGAAAAGCGATAAGTAAATTCAGAATACCATAGACCATACACACACAGCCTTTTATTACAATACTGTTACAGATGACCACACGTTAAGAGCAGAGGACATATATATATATATATATATATAGTACAGGTTTAAATTACTTCTTACTTGATAGAAAATTATGAAGAGACTGCGGACATTACTTGAAGTACAGGGATTATGATGACCAGTAACTTTCTGTTGATTTGTTTATTTTTTCTGAGTTATTTTAATATTACCGTATTTTTCGCTCCATAAAACGCACCTGACCAGAAGAGCACCAGAGACTGCGGACACAGTACAGGAGATGACCAGAGACTGCGGACACAGTGCAGGGGATGACCAAGAGACTGCGGACACAGTGCAGGGAGATGACCAGAGACTGCGGACACAGTGCAGGAGATGACCAGAGACTGCGGACACAGTGCAGGAGATGACCAGAGACTGCGGACACAGTGCAGGAGATGACCAGAGACTGCGGACACAGTGCAGGGGATGACCAGAGACTGCGGACACAGTGCAGGGGATGACCAGAGACTGCGGACACAGTGCAGGGGATGACCAGAGACTGCGGACACAGTGCAGGGGATGACCAGAGACTGCGGACACAGTGCAGGGGATGACCAGAGACTGCGGGCACAGTGCAGGGGATGACCAGAGACTGCGGACCTTTGGGGAGGGAGGGGGAGCTGGTACCTGAATTTGACAGGTACCCGCTCCCACTTCCGCGGAGTTGCCTTCCCTCTTCTTCCCGGGGGCCGGCTTCTGTGACAGCCGGGTGCCCACTGCGCATGTGCGAGAAGCGCTGCGCTTTGTGAATGGCCTGGCGCCTTCTGGGACCTTTCATGTGTCCCAGAAGACACAGGATCATTCACAAAGCACAGCACATGCGCAGTGGGCACCTGACTGTCACAGAAGCCAGCGCGGGAAGACTGTGCAGCGCTGGAGCGAGGAACAGGTAAGGCCCTGCAGGAGACAACAGCTGAGCGGCTGGCCCGGTATTCTGACATGGTGGCCGCAAAAATACCGGACCGGCCGCTTTATATTCGCTCCATAAGACGCACTGACATTTTCCCCCCTTTTTTGGGGGGAAAAAAGTGCGTCTTATGGAGCGAAAAATACGGTAATTTATATTTTAGCTACTGAAAGCCAAAAGGTAGCAGATATGTATTTTACTCCTCTAGATGACACTATATACCGTATTTTTCCACTCCATAAGACGCACCTGACCATAAGATGCTCCTAGGTTTTAGAGGAGAAAAACAAGAGAAAAAATATTCTGAACCAATGGACTGCAGACCTAGTACAGGAGATGACCAGAGACTGCGGACATAATACAGGAGATGGACCAGAGACTGTGGACACAGTACAGGAGATGACCAGAGACTGCGGACATAATACAGGAGATGGACCAGAGACTGTGGACACAGTACAGGAGATGACCAGAGACTGCAGACAGTACAGGAGATGACCAGAGACTGCAGACAGTACAGGGGATGACCAGAGACTGCGGACAGTACAGGGGATGACCAGAGACTGCGGACAGTACAGGGGATGACCAGAGACTGCGGACAGTACAGGGGATGACCAGAGACTGCGGACAGTACAGGGGATGACCAGAGACTGCGGACAGTACAGGGGATGACCAGACACTGCGGACCTTTAGGGAGGAAGGGGGAGCGGGTACCTGAATTTGACAGGTACCTGCTCCCACTTCCGCGGAGTGCTCCTTCCTATACTGTGGGCACCCGACTTTGACAGCCGGGTGCCCACTGCGCATGCACGAGAAGCGCTGCGCTTTGTGAATGGCCCGGCGTCATTTGGGACCTGTCATGTGTCCCAGAAGACACCGGACCATTCACAAAGCGCAGCGCTTCTCGTGCATGTGCAGTGGTCACCCAGCTGTCACAGATGCCGGGGCGGGAAGAAGCCGGCACGAGAAGACTACAGCGCTGGACCGAGGAACAGGTGAGTTCCTGCTGCAGAAAACAGCTGAGCGGCTGGCCCGGTATTCTGACATGGTGGCGGCGGAAATACCGGACCGGCCACTTTATATTCGCTCCATAAGACGCACTGACATTTCCCCCCCTTTTTGGGGGGGAAAAGGTGTGTCTTATGGAGCGAAAAATACGGTAGTTAAAGTGTTTCTAAAGGTAGAAGGTTTTTTTCTGTATTAAGGTAAAAAACCTACTGCATGCTGCTCCCCCCACCCCCTTATACATACCTGAGCCTGATTTCATTCCAGTGTTGTGTACGAGAGCAGAAGCTCTCTGCTTTTTCCTTCTCATTGGCTCAGAGACAGCAGCAGGAGCCATTTGCTCCTTGTGTCAATCACAGCCAGTGAGAAGGGAGCAGGGGGTGGGGTTGAGGCTCAGGAGTTAGCCCCCCAGAGTGCCCCATAGCCAGTGGAATATTTTGGTTTTGTGTTGCCCTAAGAAGACTAAAATTAGGTGCCTCCACCTGTCTAAATTTGTCCCACCCCTTCCTGTTTAAGATCCAGCCCTTTATCTGTAAACTCCACCCCTTCCTTTTTTAGGCTCTTCCTCTTCCTTTTAGAGCTCCATTTTTTCTTTATGGTGGAGAGGTGGGGGGGCTATTATTTAGGATATGGAGGTGAGGGGGGGTTATTGTTTAGGGTGGAAAGGCAGAGAGGGGGATTGTTGTTTGGGGTAGAGAGGCAGGTAGGAGGGTTATTGTTTAGGGTGGAGAGGTGGGTTGTTGTTGTTTAGGGTGGAGAGGCAGGTAGGGGGTTGTTTAGGGTAGAGAGGCAAAGAGGGGGAAGGGGGGTAATTGAGGTTTGGGAACCCCACAGCTGCCAACCACTGCCCTTCACTACAACACCCAGCAACCCCCCTCCAAGAAGTTCTGCAGCAGCTTAGACATCCAGGGAAAGTTGTCAGAGGTGGGAGGAGGGGGACCTGGCTCAGGACAGGACACCTTGGCACCGTGACACATTATTCACCGAACAGAGCAGAATCACAAAGCAGCCGCCCCAGGGAGGGGAACAGCTGGTCGCAGGGAAGAGGCTATGACTAAGCTAAGTAGGCAGGGTTGGCATGAGAGGGGTGGGAGGGAGCAGGGCCAGCAGAGATGACACTGTATGTGGGGGCACTTAGCCCCTGCAGCAGCGCCTGACAGTATCATCCATGGGTGCAGTGTTCGTCAGAGCACAGAAGGCCCTCCTTGGGGCCCATGTTCAGTGAATACCCTGCACCCACGGATAATTGGTCACTGGCCTGGGGGGGAACTTCAAAAGAGATGGATCAGGGCTGGAAAACCATTGCACACAGAGGAAGTATGACATGTTTGTTATGTAAACAAATTACGTTTAGAATCACTTTTAAGCTTAAGTTTAGTTGAAAAAAAAAAAGCACAAGGGACATTACTTACCATCATTATGATGTATTGCTTTTGCTGCCTCCTGGTTTAGATGAAATTGTTTTTTTTTTTTTATTATTTTTTAGCTACATTTAGAGGCGGTTGTTTTTTTTAAAAAATATAATATAATACACCATAATATACTTACGGTGTTTTCTTTAATAAGTGTCCAGATTAATTAAGGTTTTGGATTATTTTAAGTAAGTGGAGTTTTGAATTGGTATACAAAGAAATCCTGGCAAACCGTTAAATATGCAACTGCAATACATACTAAGTATAGGTAGCCCCTACGTAAGCCGCCGAATATTTCAGGTTCTCTGTTCATCACTCTGCCCTGGGCAGAGCACCACCCCTTAGTGACAGCATCTACATAACCCGGCCAAGTAGTTCCCTGGCAAAATAAATGATTAGCTTGTATTAACAAAAGAATAGTAGGGCAGGCAAAGAAACAGTTAACCAAAGCTATTATTAAGCAAAATAATACTGCAAATTACAATACAATACAATGTTGTCATTGATGGGAAAATGAATTCCAGAGTTTATCAAGACATTTTGCAGGAAAACGTATGACCATCTGTGCGCCAACTGAAGCTCCGCAGAGGATGGGTGATGCAACAGGACAATGACCTAAAGCATACAAGTAATTCAACAAAACAATGGCTGCAACAGCACAGAATACGCCTTCTGGAGTGGCCAAGTCAGAGTCCTGACCTCAACCCGATTGAAATGCTGTGGCATGACCTTAAGAGAGCGATTCACACCAGACATCCCAAGAATATTGCTACACTGAAACAGTTTTGTGAAGAGGAGTGGTCCAAAATTACTCCAGATCGTTGTGCAGATCTGATCTGCAACTACAGGAAACGTTTGGTTGAGGTTATTGCTGCCAAAGGAGGGTCAACCAGTTAAGTCCAAAGGTTCACATACTTTTTCCTCCCTGCACTGTGAATGTTTACATGTTATGTACAATTATTCCATGGCAACATCTAATGTTTTGTGTAGTATTATGTTCAGCAGACTGTGTTCTATTGTTGTGACTTAGATGACGTTCAGAGCACATTTTATGCCCAATTCATGCAAAACTCCACGTAATCCCAAGGGGTTCACATACTTTTTCTTGCAACTGTAGAACATTATATATTATATATAAACATTATAAATATATATATATATATTTTTTTGTAGAGACCCTAGAGAATAAAATTCTGGTCAATGCAATTTTTTTTATGCCACATGGAATTTGCGCAGTGGTTTTTCAAACGTAACTATTCAGGAAAAAAAAACACCCTTTAATGAATTTGCAAAAAATATACATAACCCACTTTTTTTTTTTTAAATAGAAAAGATGTGACGCTTTAAAATTGCGCACGCTCATGAAATGGCCCCAAACCATGGTACTTTAAAATCTTCATTGGCGACGTTTTAAATTTTTTTACAGACTACCAGTTTAGAGTTAGGGGTCTAGTGCTAGAATTACTTCTCTCTCTGACATTTGCAGCGATACCTCACACGTGTGCTGTGAACATCGTTTCCATATGTGGGCGTGACCTACAGTTGAGTGCACCACTGCGCGCAAGCACTGGGGGATGGAGGCACTTTAAAAAAAATTATTTAAATATTATTTTATTTTTACACTGTCCCTTGAAATCTTTTTTCTGATCATTTTATACCTATAGCAAGGAATGTAAACATCCCTTGTGATAGAAATAAGTAGTGACAGGTCCTCTTTATGGAGCAATCTGGAGTCAATAAGACCCCACATCTCTCCTCTACAATGGAACACAATAGATTAAAAAAAAAATTGATCTAATGCTTTAAAAGGAAAAAAAAAAAAAAAAAGGGCATTGTTTACTTAGGGCTGGAACAGGAAGTGATGTCTTGTCATTGCTCCTGTTTTCCTGCGCCATAGAGATGAGCGGAGGCCATTTTTCCTCCGCTCATCTCTGTGACCAGCTTCCAACAGCACCGGATGGGTTTCCAAGTCATCCAAGTAATGATCATCGTAGTAATCCTGAGAACTACCACCTTCTAAAAGTGATCCAAAGGATAATCAGCCACTTGCATCACTTTTATCAGAAAGACTGGCGCTTCAGGAAACATTTAATACAGGGGTTATGTCATCTAGCTGCAGCCATAACCCCGGGAATAAATGTCAAAATAATAAGGTATTTTACCAGTTAGGTAGTCAACAAGTGACCCGCCCACCTGTCCTGCAGCACTGAACATGTAAAGGTAAGCCCTCAAGCTGAGAGATTTTCCTCCAAGTGAGAAAAAGAAGGTAACAACACAAGACGCCCTCAGACTGAAGAGACTAAGTTTACAGGATAAGTTCACCTTTTGTAACATGTTCATAATCAGGATGTAACATGAAACGATTGGACCACCCCCCGCAAGCCCTGATCCCTATTGTGACAGCTAGCGAGGGATCTTCTCCTCCCCACTAGTTGTCACAATTTTTTTTTTTTAAATGTGGCCTTGCGGGGCTCTGTCTGCCTGGCCACATCACTCATTCACAGTTTTCTGTGAATGAGAACACTGCAAGTTTTGACTGTTGGCTTGTAGTTGTCAATGAAATACCAAGGCGCTGTGAAGCACCCTAGTAGTTAATTGAACCTTCCTGTCAGTATCTGCTTGCCTGTACGGGATGTACAAGCAAGCAGATACAGTGACAGGTCAGAGGCAGACCTGCATGGCACCATCGATGTACTGATCACTGGTGCAATGTTAGAGGCTCCAGAAATAAAAATAATAATAATAAAAAAATCACATTTTGTTACCAGGAAAAAAATTGTGCAATTATTATTTTTTTTAAAAGGTGAATTTATCCTTTAAGCTTCAAGAGGTTTGTCAGAGATATCTACACAACTAAACAATAAATGTTTGTTGGATTCTTGTGCCAACTTAGTTGGAGCCAATAAGTTGGTGTACAATGAAGGATGCAGTCTCTTTAAGAAGAAAACAGAATAATATCTATAAATGGTAAAGTGGTCAGCAAAGTTCCCCTTTAATAGATGAAGTTGGTGTGGTGGTCAGTTTACGAATATTGAGTGGCCCGGGGGGGGGGGGGGGGGGGGGGGGGCATGTGTCAGATGTATGTCCCATTAAATGAGAAAAAGTTGAACTTGAGCAGCTAATTCCTTTCTTGGATGGCTTGAACTTGAGTTGGAATGAATGCGAATTTCTACCTAGCTGGTAGTGGTAGGGTTAACTCGGATTAACTTGGTAGTAATAGGCTAGAACTGCAGACTGCAGCAAGGGTGCAGATAGGCTCTGGCACATGTGCTGATTGCATAGG